AGAGTCCAATTTTCGTCCAAAAGTCATACTTAATGTAGACTTAAACATTCAAAAATATGTATTGGGGGGTTTTTTGGCACGAGAAAACCGAATCCGACGTTAGTTTTGAGATACAATCAATTTTTGATACAGTTTCCTTTAAAAAATCACAGAAAAATTGAATTTTCGTATGGGAGCCATGTCTGTTTGCTACTTTAATGACGCGAAACTTTGCACAGACTATTTTTTGCACAGAAAGTTTGAAGAGATTTCAATCAAAATTAGGGGTAACTCTCATACAAAATTTACAATTTTTGGCTCAAAAACGAATATTTTGTATGGGAGGTACTCTTAATTTTGGTTGAAATTTCTCCAAACCCTCCGAATGTTATTTTTTGGTGAAAGAAATAACCTGTACAAAGTTTCATGCCATTAAGGTAGCATACAGACATGGCTCCCATACAAAAATCCAAATTTTTTGTGACTTTAGTTATGAAAAGTGTTTCAAAAATAATTTTTATGGCAAAATTAACGTCAGACATTTTTTTTATAGTGTTTTGTTTGAAAATAGAATACTTTCAAATGCCGCACAAATGGGTTCATCATGAAAGTGTGAAAAATCTTTTCTCGGGTACTTCTGCTATTAAATTAAAGAATATTTCGTTGCCAAAGTTGAAACATATTGTTTGGTTTCGAACTTTACGACGCTTGAAAGGCTTGAAAAATCGAACAAATATTATTTTGAACTTTCTTAATAAAATACGCAACTACCACCGTGCGGAAAAGTTCGTCTTACTCCCGTAAGACTCTTTATTTCGTTTAATCCACTACTTTTTTTTTTTATAAAATGAATCACCAAAACCGAAAAATACAAAACGAAATCGCGAAGCAAATTTGCTACTATTTTAAATTATTTTATTTGTGTTTTCTTATCGCTCTTTTATACTCTCTTCTTCTGAAATGCTTGCGTCCAAAATTATTGTCAACTTCGATTATGTTGTTTATGATCAAGTGCTGCAGTATATGTATAGAAATGAATCATGATTGTTTCGCATTAATGCGCACTACGCAGTTAGATAAACAAATTTATACAGCGATGTACCCAATGTCAGCATTTATATAGTTCTTTGAAATTTTGAAATGCACTACAAAGCAAACATTTGCATATATGGTAGATTTTCATAAACATGCAATTTTATAATCGAGACGTATTTTATCAACAGTACTTCTGCTTCAATTTTCAAAACAAATGATTCATAAGTATAAAGCAAGATCATCGTTCAATCTCATTGAACTTATATAAAAATATATTATATAAATACTCGCGTATATTTGCCATTTAGTTTCATCACACTATAAGCAAGTAAAACACGTCGTCGATCGTCATTGTTGTTTTGAAATACTGACTATATTTTTGCGCTTTCCCATAGGAATATAAATCTTCCAAACATACACAAGGATTATAATATTTTTCAGAAATAGATTAATTTAACATAGTCATATCGATCTTTCAGTCATGGCAGCCGAACAATTCAATATAGACTTTCATCAATTGTTGGGTGTGAACAGAAATGCCGACGAAAAGACTATACTCAAAGCATTCAGACAACTATCGAGAAAGTATCATCCCGATAAAGTGGCTGGCCAAGAGGACAAGATGAAACTTTTGACCATAGCCAAACTTACATTGCTCGATCCGGATAAGCGAGCTAAATACGATGCCAATTACGGAACGAATGACGAGTTTGGAAACAATCAGCCTAATTTGAATGCTGATTTGCTCAAACTTAATATCGGTCACAGGCTATCAGATAATTACCGAACTCAGATAGAGCAATGGAAAAAAGAATATCCAAACATATATATCGTTAACAATATGAATATGTTTGAGATATTGTTCCAAAAACAATCGATGCTTGATAAAAAAACAGTGTTTGATCTAGGCGCTGATCAACTGATCAACCAAGATAAAGCACATCAAGTGATGTTCGAAGAGCTTCGAACACTTTTCATAGCGCAAGACTTTGCTAACCTTGCAAAATACATCTTGACTCACCAGTGCCGCTCTGTATTAACAGAGCTATACGAAACTGTCAAGCCCACACATGGATATGAATTGCCAGATAAGCACAAGGCATTGCTGCAAATTATCAAAGCATCTAGTACACTACACGATGGTCATCAAAATAGAATCAAAGGCTTGTACGAGGCTATTTTTATTTATCCCATCGATGAGTGCATGGAATGTGTTCTTAAGCTCATTAACAATCGTATGACTGATGCTCATAAAAATGAGGTTATAGATATGGTATTGATTCACAACTTGCAAGATGAAAACGCAGAGAACAAACAGTACATACGCAGACTGGAAAGTAATCAAACACTCAGATCTATATTCAAATATGAGAGTGCTATTCACAATCAGGTATGGGTAAAAATACAATCTAAATGAAAATAAAACGCAAAATTTAATCCCATTGTAAACTTTCGACAGAATATCGAGTCAATGGATAAGGCAATGCTTTACATAGACCTATGTATGGTGAACGGGCATCCAATAGTGTTGGCCAATAGCCTGGTGATGGCATCGAGGGAGCTAATTACACATATGGCAGAAGTTACAGATGCGGCTGAATTGTATGTGCTAAAATTACTATTTCAATACTCTAAAATTCCCGATCCATTCCTTCGATTCTTTTTCCATTCTGTTAAATTGATTATTTTCATTTTTTCATTATTTTCTTCTGATCAACCCTAGGTATGCGCTAAAGAACTGTGTGATTGAGCTGTGTGCTACTGTCCTCCACTTTGTGACAACATACGCCAATCCAATCTCACAACTGAAATACTCGATTCACGTAATCAGACTTATAAAAAGAGCTAATGAAATTCTATCTGTTTCACAAGCCATGGAAAGAACTTTGTTCTTGGTAAATTTGAACTTCTTTTCAATTTTATTTAAATTGTTTCAAAACTTTATTTTATTTTATTCCAATCTAGAAAAAATACACAACGATAAAGCCATTGATTGGTGAGCTTGATCAAAGTCTGTTGAAACTTGCTAATCACTGTGTGTCAAAGTGCATCGGAGTGAGCCCATTGATAGACACCACACTTGATATGACCAGTGATGTGTTGTATATGAATCTGATTAACAACAAACTGCTAGAAAAGTTCTACCACTGGAACATTGGCACCTATTCTGATCATCCATCTGCACATTTATACTGGTACAGCCTCATGGAGGGCGCGTGGAAAAACTGGTTCGATGAGACCAAGTTCGATGAATACAGACGAAAGTGTATCGAAGTTTTACTCGGTAAAACATTAAGCAATTTTTTTTCTGTATGAAATTTTAAAATTACTAAAACAACATTAAATAGGTAAAACAACGATGAGTGAGCTTGATGTGGCCAAAATAATGAAGTTGGAAATATCATGCACAATACCCAACACAAACTCATTATTGGATGATTTGTTTGGATTTTTCACTGGATCAAAATGCGATGAATCTAGGGTCGAATTAAAACCAATGATAAACAGATGCAAAGAGGGCTGGATTTTGCCTGATAAAAACTACTTGAATATGGGCAAGATGAGTTTTAATTCTGTGGACGGATTGATCATTGACATCGAGCAAGGCACTTTCAAGATAATTGTTAGCACAGACGAACAGCTCAGCCCACTTTGTGATAGCCAAGACATTGACGAAATTATCCTAAAGGGCATTTCCCATAATCTATTCAGCCTCGACCAAGCTGATTTCGAACTAGACTATCACCCGTTTCAATTGATGCGATTTTCGCCCAAAAGTCTTGAAAATTCACGGTACCTTTCCACTGTACTAGCTGCCGATTACCTGCTCAAAATGATTGCAACTAATACCGAGGTAATATTCAAATAGACAAAATATCAACATTGAATTTCGAAATATCTTAATATGTGTGTTAATTAGGTATCAGCGCAAGCGCCATTCGAAATTAAGCAAGCAGTTGATGGCTTTCTAAAGGCTTTGCCCGCTGACTTAAGAGAGTACATTATGATGAAAAAAAGCACATCTGATTTTGGAAAAGTTCATCGATTTTGGATAGAAAATGGCAATATTCCGTTTTATAAAGATGTGGAAGATAATGGAAAACTAACTTACGAATTTTACTATACACCTATGCTGATCAAAAAGAATTTATTGAAAAAGAACTCAAATGTGAGCAAAAACATATTATTTAATGACAATTAGTGAAAATATTTCAGAATATAACGTTCCATTTATTTCAACAGGGTGAACTGGTCGATGATGTGGATGACAGCGAAGATGATATCACTGATGATGATGATAGCGAGGATGAAATGGATAAAGAGCTGTGTCCACCGAAGAAAAAGATTTCAGCAGAGGCTCGATTTATTCGAAGACTCACAGAATATTACGACCTGATTGGTTGTTATTTTCCAGTGCTGCTGAGACTGCGGGAATTGGCCAAACTCAGTGCCATTTCTATGATATTGAAAAATACATATCATGCGCTGGAAGAGAGCAAAAAGCAAGCTACTGTCCCTCGGAACGATATTCAAAACATTCTTGACAACATCAGACGCCAAATAACCTATCCTATTTGCACCGAGTCTAAGGTGAGCACTATTCCAATTTTAAATCGAAATACGATCCAATGTAATTTTTGTTACATAAAGATTAAACCGTGTTAACCACACGGTTATCACAACCCAACTTTTTTTTCGAAATTAGCGGCGGTTGTTTTAAATAATTGCTCTCACTACGGAAGTGCAAAATTCAAACAAGTAAAGAATTCGAATTTTGTGAAAGACAGAAATAAACATAAAAGTAAAATTCAAATAAACCGTTTTTAATCATCACAAACGATGTTGCAGTGCAGTTTGTTAGATTTTTACTTTGAATTACTTGTTTTTGTTGTTTCATATTCGTGCCTATCCAGACATTTTTACAATCTATTCTTTGTAATTTCAAATTTTCTGATTCTATTAAATCTAGGTCGACGAGTTATACTGGAAATGTATACGCGCCAATGGTTTGCACGACGATAGCCGAGTATCTTGGAGTGAGACGAGACGAGTGAAGAACGAAATCCGAAGCGAATTGAATCATGCAGACAGAAAACTGTTTATCGATTTACCTAAAAATTTATCCGAGTCATTGGAATTGGCCAACACTCAAGCTCTGGGCCAACATGTTTGCAATTGGATAAAACATGGCCAGTGCAATGCCTTAATCGACTATTTGTGCACCGCTGTCCATGAGAAAAAAATAGAAAAGTTGTCCAGATTTGGCAACAATCTCAAAAAGCTAGGTGTCAATCTATCTACTGACGGTGATTCCGAGCTAAGTGAATGTGATGGTGGATGCAAGTGGGTGCCGTCAGCCTTCTCTCAGCTCGATGGCAGACGTGTCTATGGCGGTGTTTTCTTGCGGCCTCAGCTCAGCTCGCAGGACGTTAAAGGCTTTCAAGGCTTTCAAGCAAGTTCTAGAAATGCTGCCTCTTCACGTGGCGGCCCTTCTGGTTCATCCAGAGGTGGTTCTTCTGGTTCGTCAGGTGGTGATTCTTCTGGTCCTCCCAAGCCTCCCAAGCCTCCCAAGACGCCCAAAAATAGAGAACAGGTTATGAATACATATGGGCATGGCAAAGGCTGGCCAGAGACACCGATAAGAGTGGGCGATACGTATTTCGGAAAACCTGACACTTGTAAGTCATTTCACCAATATTGAGAAATGATTTTTTGATATTATAATTTTTTTTCATAGCACACGAAACTCACCAAGGTATCGGCATCACATCTGGCCCTAGTGGTTGGCCTAAAATTCATAATCCCAGGTGAAAAATATTCTATAGAGTATTCATTGACACATTAACATTGATCTTAAATGGCATTAACTTTGCTATTTATTTATCTATTTTTTGCATATAATTGTAGGCACAGCACAAGAAAAGCAGCTAAAGAAGCGGCAGCCCGTGCGAGTCGTGGTCGAGGTAATAAAAAGGTAATTGTGGATGGCGCTCACGGCAAGATCAGAATGAACCAGGGCACTGCCAGTGACCAACAGAAGAAAGATCACCACAACAAAAACAAAAAAGGTGATAAAAGCAGCCATTTTCATCCCACCGACGAGAAAGGCGATAAGCTCAAAGATGGCGTGCATCACCTTTTCTAATAATCACTTTGATCAACTTATACAATAGCACTTTTTATAGACAGTATAATATGGAAAACCATACATACCATATATATACTTATGAAAAACCTTGTTCACCAAAGCGTCTCCATTATTAAAATTTATTTGGTTAAGCGATTTTCGAAATGAAATGTTCTAGATCATCGAACGAATTTGGCATTATTGACAAAACTCATGCTGCTTTCAGTTCGAGTGAATGGAGAACAGAGTAATCTGTTAATTGCACA